GTTCCCCAAGTGTTGCGGCGGGATGTTGCGATGAGCTGAGAGCAAGCGGTCTGGGTAGAATCCCTAGGGCACCACTTTAGTGTTAAAAATTCAGAATTAAGACGCTTCAATAAACTCCTCACTCACTCATGGTGGCAAACGCGAATCGTGCTCCAACCCTCCCGGCGGGAGGCGAACATGGCCCCCACAGCCCCACATGCACCCCTGGGCCCGATGGCTTTGTTCTCCAGCACGACAGGGAGGAATAAAATATATATAATCTGATTTTTCTCCCCCAAATTCCCCCCATAAAGCAATTATCAAAGGTTACCCGCCTGACTTCACCATCGAGGCACGGGGCAGCTCTCCCGGGATCCCCGCGTGAGGAATTGCGCATCGAGATCCCCAAAACCCCCCAGACAAGGGCGACGGGCAAGGGCGACGTGCTCCTTGCTGCTCCCAGCGAGGGGGATCGGAGGTAAAACCCACGCAGAACTCATCAGCATCAGGGTTTAACAAGGCATTGCCCCAGACGAGGTGACATTACAGTTCTCAGAGGCGCGACGGCGAGGGTACACGGTGCCAAAACCAAGCACAGGAGCGAAAGCGCTATGTGGCACCCCCAAACCCCACCCTGATGCAGCCTCTCTGGTCAGGGAGGACCCCAAAAGAGCGGGGCCGACCCCCTCCCAGCGCTCCCTGGCCGTGAGCGTGCGACACACACCCCTCCCAGCATGCGGCGAGCCGTTTATTTCCATGAACACACGACGGCGCGCGCGGGGACGCCGGGGGCGAGCCATGCCGAAGAGAGCGCGGGCGCTGCCCACGGGGGTCCTGGCCTGGTGCCCCACTGCCAGCGCGTCCTCACGCCTCCTCCTGAAATCCGCCCAGCCACACACACACGTAAATAAAATCAACACCAAAAAAGTGAGTTGATGGTGCAAAACCAAAGCTGAGGAAGAGCTTGGGTGCGTTATTGCGTGGCAGACGGGAGGGAAACCTCGGCTCCGGGGCATGGAGAATCCCGCGCTCCGAGCAGGGCTAATCCGGAGAAGGGAGGGAAACGTTTCCTCCGCTCGCAGGAATTACAGCCCCACAAAGTGTTGGGGTTTTGAGGAGTTCCCACCCCCTTCAGCGCTGATGCATCTTAAAAATTATAGATATGAGGGGATAAAATTCCCTACTTCCACATGTCAAAAGGGACACCTTGTCTCTGCCCAAAGCTCGGCAAGCCACGGGCACACCAGCTCCGCCCCATCTGCGGGATGTTGTGCTGGGGGCGGGTGTCAGCGCCGAGCAGAGGTGCCAGCCCACGCCGTTACACAACGCACGGGCTCGCTACGCACGCTTAGGGTGGAGTTTTCCACCAGCCTTCCAGCAGGAGAAGTCCTGTGGGACGTACCGGGTCCCACAACACCTCCTCTTCATTTCCTTCCTCAGGTCCTTCAACAAAGGAGGGGTTCCCCGTTCTCCCCACACCTAGAAAGCCTCCTTTTCCCCAAGGTCTGCCCCAATGCAAAAAGAAAAAGGGAAAAAAAACCCTGGTTAATCCAAAAGCTGGGATATAATTTGCTGTTAAAGGGGGATTGTCCATCTCAGGAGGCCAAAAATCAAGGGGAGAGGACGTGGGAGGAGCCGCTGAGCAGACGTTGTGGGGAGCGAGACATCACGGAGCCATCTGTGAGCGGCACTGGTGGATCCCCGCTGCCCCACGCCAGCTCAGGAGGAAGAGCAGAGCAGGATGAAAACTGGGACGGCGACCAGGGAAGGGGAACGTGGCACTCGCGAGTCCCAAACCAAGCAGTCAACCTCATTCTTGGCGCTGCCTCGAGGAAGCGGTGACAAAGGGAGGCGAGCAGCGGCGCGGAAGAGCCCCGGTGCCTCGTCTTTCGCTTAGCTAAGGAGCAACACGTACTCCTTCAGGCAGGTGGGCAAGGGGAGCTGCTTCACTGCCTCCGGCAGGAACCGCACGCCCAGGCTGCGGCGCACGGCATAACGCGACAGCGTCTGTAAGGTACCGGGGGCCGAGCAGAGCAGGGTGAGCTTTTCGCAGAGCTGCTGATCCCTGGTCACTTCCCAGGGCATGCTGCCATTTTTTCTCAGCTCAAAATGTCCGATAGCTCGATGGAGAAGATCGAAACAGGAATCCTCGCGTTCCGTACCCAAGCCCCGAACCAGCAACGCCACCAATCGCGAGATGGGAGTTTGGCCTTTCAAATTCACCACCCGGACCTCAGCCCCGAAGTCGAGCAGGATGCTGACGCTCTCCAGGTTACCCTTCATGGCTGCCCAGCTGAGCGGCGTGTCGTTGTTGTAATCGCGGGCGTTCACCCAGGCGCCATTCTCCAGCAGCGACCGCACGCACTCGGCGTTGTTCTTGAAGGCGGCCCAGTGGAGCGGGGTGTCCTTGTTGCCATCCAGCGCATTGGGGTTAGCCCCATACTCCAAGAGGATTTCCACGCAGGTTTCATCCTTTTCTGCCGCGTAGTGAAGGGCTGTTCGGTTGTAGCCATCCAGGGCGTTGACCTGCAGGAGAAGGGGAGGAAGGAGGAAGGATTTGGGGGTCACTGAGGTACCCCAGCTCCTCCCAGCATCGGGGGAAACCCCACTGGTGCTGCGCCAAAACTGTTCCCGCTTCCCAAATTTAGCTGATGGGAAAACGAGGCAGGGAGCGGGATGTACGACCTGCCGGCGGCCAGAGGGAAGTGCCAAAAATCAGGCGATAAATAGGTTTCAATTCTTCTTTCAGTTTTCAACCGCAGAACTACCCTCCCTCCCTGACAAGCAGGCACCCCCGAGATGCCAGGCACAAACATTTCACTCCCTACTGGGACGATAAACCTTCATCTGGGCGCATTTTGGCACAAAACCAGCACCGCTTAAAACCGTCAGCTCAAATCTCAGCTGTTTATCAGCACCCGCCCGCCGCCTCCTGACTTCCCAGCCCCTTTTCAAAAGGATCTTTGCGTTTTTAACGCGGTTTTTGTTCTTTAAAAGCCTCTACCTCCGCTCCCTTCTGCAGCAGCAGCTCGACGCAGTCGGCATCAGGCACC